GAGAGAGAGAGAGAGAGAGAGAGAGAGAGAGAGAGAGAGAGAGAGAGAGAGAGAGAGAGAGAGAGAGAGAGAGAGAGAGAGAGAGAAAGATAAATAGGTTGAGAGACAGAGCGGGTGAGAGAGGGAGAGACACCTTCTTTCTCTTCTTCTTCTTCCTCCTCGTCGTTTGTGTCCTCCATGTCTAGGGTGGACTCCGTTTAAGCTGACTTCACGGACGTACTGGACAGTCAGACTATAATGAAGTGTGACAAGTGTCACTTTTCTGCAATTGCAGCGTCGATTGTGTGGACTCGTGTCTTCTTCTTCTTTTTTTCGTCTTCTTTTTCCGTCGGTGTCACTGTGATTCCCGGCTGCTATTGATTGAACCGTGTATGAGGATGTATCAGCCTGTATGAGCCTGTATGAATGTCGCCGGTCATCCGCCAACAGAACCTTGAACACCCCTGCGGACTTGCCCCCAAACACCAAAGCATGAACCCACTCTAAGCCCTCGAACAGCCCCTCGTAAGCATGAAACAGGCACCCCCAGGACCTCCCCCCGCCCCCCACACAGACCCCCAGGACCTCCCCCCACAAGCACAGCAGCACTGACACTGCTGCTCATCCCAAACAACCCATCACCACCATCTCTATCACTCCATGGCTAGACATCCCCCATCTGTTATCTAGCCTCTGGAGTGTATAGAGTACCATAATCCCAAGGTCCACAAGATCTTCACGCGACATGAAGAGCACTACTGCTTATAACACCCTCGAAGTCCCCGTTTCTTTATGTGCTCCAAAAGAGCAGTCAATGGGAACCACAGCAAACACTCTCTGAGCCTCCTCGCGAAGAACTACAGGCATACATTCACAGACCAAAAACGTTGTGGCCACCCGCAGACATTACCCCCCCTCAAAACATGCTCTAGGACCATGAATAATAAACAAAACAACAAGACAAATCCAACCACAATGTGTGTATGTGTCTGCATGCGCGCGCGCGCGCAAGAGAGAGAGAGAGAGAGAGAGAGAGAGAGAGAGAGAGAGAGAGAGACTTACAAGAGTTTGCCCATCCAGGAAACTTAGCTTGCCCGTTATTCGCTCTGCAATTCTCTCTGCAGAAACACACGCAACCCAGAACTTCCCATTAAATTGGAGCGTTAAGAAAACTGGTAAGTCTTTTAGCGTTGGTGATAAGCCACAGCTGTGGGCATATTTTGTATGGCAGAATGGTTGTCATGACAGCCTGATACCCATTCGTTTTCAATCCACTGGATGATGAATAAGACCAAATTTGAAGTAGACTCACTGCAGAGTATTACATACTGCAACATATCTATCAACTAAAACAGTGCACTTCATGAAAACAAGAACATAGAACATGAGGCAAACTGAAACCGTTCTTTCAGCCTTTTTCTGTGCGGTTCCTGCTCTCTTTCTTTTTCGTTTTTTCATGTTTTTTCTTTTACTACGTCTTCAGGTCTCCCTTTTCTGTGCTGCTCCGGTACAAGGCTTGCTACGTTGTGGTCGAGTGCAAGCTGCCTACACCCCCATGTGCCATAACGGTCCACTTGCATGCGGTAAGAAGAGGTGAAGGGAGAGGGGAGATAGAGATCACAGTAAAACCGCAAAACAGGTCAACTGCAAGTCCACTATGATGTGAATCCTGTGTAGCACACTGCACATGATCAGAGCTTTCGCGAACACCCGAACACATTCGGGTGTTCGGCCGAACAGCTCCCGAACGTGTTTGGCATAACTTTTTTTTTTTTGAACTTTTTTTTAGGCTGGTCCCCGGGCCGCCCGGCGACCTGGTGGTCGCCCGGGGGGGGACGCCGGCCGCCTGGCCGGTTGTTCCGCCCGGTTGGCCACCGGGCGACCCCAGCGCATCCCAGAAGAGGGGGGGGTGGGGGGTTCGGCCGTTTTCGACGCAGGGGGCTTTCTTCCCCCCAAAGGAGGCCGTCCAAGCCAACAGAGGTAAAAAAAAAGGGCCCGTAGGCCTGATTTCAAGAATTTGAAATCGGGGCCCATCTGAGCCGTCGATCTGCAGGATCGACCGCCCAGATGGGCCGCGATTTTGAATCCCTGAGGGCAGGAACCACCGGCCCTTGTCCCCTCCCTTGTGACCTCTCCCGCCCGACGCCTCACTTCAACGGGAGCTCCGCCAACGCCGCCAACGCCCGCCAACGCCGCAGACGCCCGCCATCGCGCTGTCGCGCCAAGGTAAGTGGGTTAGCAGTAGTAGTAGTAGAGAGAGAGAGAGAGAGAGACAGAGATCTTCTTCTTCTTCTTCCTCTTCTTCTTCTTCTTCGTCGTCGTCGCATCTTCTTCTTCTTCTTCCTCTTCTTCTTCATCGTCGCATCTTCTTCTTCTTTTTCTTCTTCTTCTTCTTCTTCTTCTTCTCCTTCTTCTTCTTCTTCTCTGCCACTGTCTCGTGACCCCCTGCCCGCCATCCTCCACCCTTCTTCTTCTTCTTCTTCTTCTTCTCCTCCTCCTCCTCCTCCTCCTTCTCCTCCTCCTCCTCCTCCTCCCTCGCTTCTTCTTCTTCTTCTTCTTCTTCTTCTTCGTCTTCTTCTTCTTCTTCTTCTTCTTCTTCTTCTTCGTCTTCTTCTTCTTCTTCTTCTTCTTCTTCTTCTTCTTCTTGCTCCTCCTCTTCTCCTCCTCCTCCTCCTTCGCTGCTTCTTCTTCCTCTTCTTCTTGCTCACCATTTCATGGCTCCCCTGCCCGCCATCCCCGACCGCCATTTCTGATTATTATTATTATTATTATTTCTTTTTGTCTCTGTCTTGTGCAGTCGCGCGAGGGGCCGCGATTTTTTTCAGTTCTCAATTTTTAACTCGTGCTTGGCTAAGAACTTGAACATGCCGCTGAGGCAAAGATTGTTTGTGTCATTATTTTACATAAAATATATCATTTTAGACTTTTCTGCTAGGCTACCAGCCGGGCCGCCCGGGTCCCGGGTGGCTAGCCCGTGCAAGGACCAGGGAAGGTTCCAGCCAAAAAAAAAAAAAAAAAAAAAATCCAAAACATCCGAAAACAAACTGTGTTATGCAGAAAAATAAACTGAACAACTTTTGCCTCAGGGTCACATCGAAATTCTGCACCATATTTAGAATAAAAAATAAAATTTTATTTTTTTATTTTTATTTTTATTTTTTATTTGTTTTTGGCCCGGCCGGGCAGGTGACCCCGGGCCACTCTCGTAGCCTAGCTTTTCTGAGATTAAAAAAAATAAAATTATATGTTTTTATGCTCGCGTTCGGAGAGTTTTCGCACCCGTTCGCGTTCGATCACGAACGTTTGGGTTTGGTCGTCGAACGCGAACATGATGCTACGCAGGTAATCATCGAACCTCGCTTGAGAAAGAATGAACTCAATAGTTCGTAAAGATCACAGTAAAACCGCAAAACAGGTCAACAGCAAGTGTTGCATACCGTATAGGTGCAGACCAGAACAAGAACCGACCTTTCAATACAAAGTATAAGATAGCACAGCGGAAGACTTAGATACTAATGATCCGAACAATCAATGTTGTAATGCAGCCCTGAACATACATCATCATCATCGTTTCATAGTGTGAATGGGTCTGGCGCTTCACACAGGAAGAC